CCAGTTAAAACTATGGTTAAGTCTGTCCATGTGTTGTGAGATTAAGGAGTTTTCATCATGTCTTCTGCTAGTTGGTGTTCATGTATGTGCTGTTCCAGCCTTCTGCCTGTCTGTCCTACACAGTGTTTGTTGCAGTCCTTACACTGTCTGTTGTAGATGACTCCTGCTTTATCTTCTTGTGCTACTGGGTCTCTTATCAAAAAGTGCCTGACCACTCAACCTACTACAACACAACCAACACAAGCTATGAAAAGGATCCCACTGCCATACATCAGACACATCTCAGAAACCACCAACAGACAACTACAACCACATGGCATCTCTGTAGCACACAAACCAACTAAAGCCCTCCAAAATAGCTTAAGTAAACTAAAAGACCCAGTAGCACAAGATGTGTGAGAACAATAAAAAAAAAAAAAACCTTGAAGCTGTAATTCTTTGAGAGCATACTGGAGAGTTGGTCTCATTGAATCCTGAGGACGTGAAGATGGAGAGTTCCTCATATACAGATGGGCAAATTTTTTATTGCTAAGTGCTGTATTTTGCATCTTTAATATTCATACTACTACATTCATACTACTACTGGCTCTCAAAAATCCCCATTAAACCATTTCAAAAAGCCATACAAATTTAGCACACAAAAATCTCCACCCCTAACAAAATCCAACATCCCATAGCAACGTCCTTCTTTCTCTTCCATTAAAAGCTCTGCAAAAGAGTTCTGTTGGCAAAGCCCTTCAGTGTATAGTTAAGGAGGGTGCCATTTGCACTTCTGGAGTTCAGATGCTCCACAAATGTTCATATGGGGAGCAACAGCATGTTCTACCTCCCTCTCCTCTAATCTCACTTGAGGGGCACTCTCAACATCCCCTTCCTGGTTGAATGACCTGGATGGGTTGGTTCTACCTGGAGGGGGCAGTCCTTCAGATGTCTAAGGATCAAATCGTAAAGAGCTTTATAGATTATGACAAGCACTCTGAGTTTTATGTGGCAGCCTAGTGGTAACCATTGCTGATCTCACAAAACCAGCATTCTATGGCAGTGTTTCTCAGCCTTGGCAACTTTAAGATGTGTGGACTTCCACTCCCAGAATTCCTCAGCCAGCATGCTGAG